TCTTCCAAAGAACACACATGGTACTTTATCCCATAAACATATATTAAATACCCAGGCTTTTCTCCAAATGCTCTTGATGTAGAGGTATGGGCCTCAACAGAACTCGTTACAAACACTATTTAGATGCCTCACTGTGGTCACAAAACAGTACAGAGGTTAGACATTCCTTCAGAGCTCAGGAAACCATAAGAAATTCCAATAATTCATGATAAACAGACTAGTTCCCATATTGCTGCTAGATAACACGTCGTGGCCAGGTGAAATAGAAATGTAAGCAATAGACTGTACGTTATATGCTTCTCGCCGAGGCAGCGATGTTTTGACAGCTCTTCTATTATCATCATAATAATTCTGATCTATTGATATGTGACAGGTACAATCATCAGGGGAAGCAGAAGAAGAAAAGTTACATTTGTGAGCCTGGACTCACTCTCCCATCATAGCGAGCTGACCAGACACACTGCCTACATGCCACAGGCCCCCCAGGAGACCAGGAAAGAGGAAGCGATAAAAAGAAAGGGAGGGAAGGGGAGGCAGGTCAATAGGAGAAAAGGGGAGAGAGCTACAGAGACACTGATAGCATAGAAATTAGTAATAGAAACAAAGATAAAGAGGGATACAGAACAGAATGGGAAAGAGAGAAAAAGAGAGAATGACTGAGGCAGTGGTGTACAGAGATAGAAAGAGTTAGTGAGAGAGAACTACACATAGAGAAGGATAGGTCTCTGTAACGAGAAGGAGAGAGAAATAATAACAGAGACAGAGAAATGAAAAGACAGAGAGGGACAGAGACACAGGGATAGAGAGATGGAAAACAGGAGATGCCAAGAGAGGGGGAAGATGGATAGAGAGATAAAAAGAACAGAGAGTAGAGAGCGACTTTGATATGAATACAGTGATGGAGAGGGAGAGAGAGAGGAGTAGACATACAGAGACAGAGATAGACACATACAGAGACAGAGAGAGAGAAATAGGGAAAGACAGTAAGAGATAACTGGAGATAGAGGGAGAAAGAGAGAATGACAGAACTACAGAGATAAACGATATATGTGGGCACACCAAGTGTGATCGAGTTAGGAAGACAGAGCTAGATATACAGAAACCGAGGCAGATATTGATAGAGAGAGAGAAAGTAGGAAATATATGCATTTTTATATGCATATTGTTACAAATTGTATATTTATATATCGTTACACATTTATTTACCTGCGTATATTTCTAACTTTCTTTTTTCCTTTACGTACATATTATCTTTCTACTGCTGTCAGTCTAATTATCTTTCATCTATCTATCTATCTATCTATCTCTCTCTATCCTATTGTACAATAATGTAACAATTACCCCAAAACTTAGTAGCTTAAAATGACAACCATTTATTGATTCTAACAAAGCCATTGATCAGCTGGCTATTCCGCTGACCTGGGCCAGGCTCACCTGATTTCAGTTGGACACGGTCAAGTTTTGGTCAACTGATGGGTTGGCTGGGGGTTGGCTGGTCAAGGTGGCCTGGGCTGGAATGAATCAGCTCTGTTCCATGTGGTATTTCATCTTCCAACTGGCCAGCCTGGACTTGTTCTCATGATAATGGTGAGGGTCCAGTGAGCTAGCAGAAGTGCATTAGGCCTCTTCAGGCCTAGACTCAGAACTGTATCCCCATAACTTCCTCCTATATTCAAAAATGTGGAAATAAACTACACTTCTTGATTGAGGAGCTGAGAATTCACAATGCAAGCAGTGAGCTCTAGGCTGGAAAATTTGCACTGAGCACATTTGGCCCTGTGTCTCTCATTTAATGCAACCATAGCCCCTGCTCTGAGGACTCTGAGGAAGGAGAGCATCCTGGTGGCTTTCATCCTCTCTTCATCCTCTCCCTGCTTGGTCCCGAAGGCGGATACAGTTTCAGGAAAGGCACAGAAGAGCAAGAATGCCAAAGCCCCAATTATCTGGCCAGAGAAAGGGAAGGGGGACCCCTGTGAATTGGAAAGTGTTGTAGAAATTGTAAAGAGGAGAGAGTATGAGAAAGAAATTTTGCACAATGGTGTTTGAACAACTGGGTTTACCCCCTAGCTGCACAGTCATAGATATGACCCTAAACAGCCTACCATTGGCTTTGCAAACTGATCAGGGGTAAACCATGGCCCAGGTCCTAGACTGGCCACTGGGTGGTGCTCACACAGGACAGATCTGAGTAGCACTGCAAAGGCTTTGAAAGCTGCACTGATGGGAACTGCCCACCAAAAGCAGGTGGGAACTTGCAACCCCTAACTGGGTCAGTTGCCTTCGAACAAAACACTCAGTATTCCCCGTAGTATATAAACACTGCCTAGAGCCTTTAGTATAATATTCAAAATGTGCAGGATACAATTCAAAATTACTCAATATGTGGAGAACCAAGAAAACCTCAACATTTCACAATGGAAAAGCCATTAGCAGATGCCAATCCTGGAATGACATAGACTTGGGGATAACAGAGAATTTAAAGTAGCTGTTATGATCATGAGATGAAATGAAATGGAAAGAGAGGTAGAGATAGAGAGAAAATGTAAGATAGATAAGAGAGATACAAGTAGAGAAATAGAAAAAGAAAGGTAGTAGAGATAGGTAGATAGATACAGAGAGACAGAAATATAGACAGATAAGGAGAGAGATAGTAGGAAAGAAGAGAAAGAGAAGTAGGGAAGGAGAAGGAGACAGAGCTGGAAAGAGAGGTAGAGAGAAAGCAGAGAGGGATGGAGAAAACAGGAAGCAGAGACAAAGAGTGTGGACCTAGAGAAGGAGAGATGGAGGGATATGAAGAGTGATGGAGACAGCAAGGCGGAGACAGAGACACAGAATGTTGGAGAGAGCGAGCCAGTGTACTGGGCAGAGCTGTACAGCCATTGTTGGTGGTCGTCTAGTCCAGGACATCGTTCGGGTTGCAGGATGGCAATTTCCCAACTTTGATACTTCTGCATTTATTGGTTGTAACACTCGCATAAAGAAGAACTTTCATTCATCAGCTCTGTCTTATCCTGAAGTACAGTTTGTACAGAAATGGCAAAGTAAATGTTTGATTCTTTTTTATTTCCCTTTTCAGAACAATCAGATGGTGCCTTAGCAACTTCCACAGGTGACATACTAATTTTGAGTTTCATCAGTGAGTCTGCGTGTTTTTATAGATTATGTCCTTAACATGTTTGCGTAGGTGTTGGTCTTCCTGTGCTCACATTGTCCTCTCTGCGGACAGTGAGAGACTCTGTGAGTTGGCTCCTGTATCCTGTGACATGACCTCAGTTGTCGCTCGTGGCTTTGTTGGTTTCAGGCAACACGAGATGTTATTGACCTCGGCCATCCCTTTCCCACTCCTGGATTCAGCCATTTGGTAATTAAGCCCTAGTCTTTTAGTGAGAAATGGTATTTGATGTCACAGTACAGGTGCAGGGAGAGCTCATTACTGCTGCATGGTTACTCCTTTCTAGTTTTTTCAGTGGATAGCTAAAGAATAAGTATTTTATTGAAAAAATGGATTCAAACTATACATCATAGGGTTTTTACTCAAATTTCAAAATTTTTATATATGGCTTTTCCCTTATACTGAAATCTTAATTTCTAACATATCAACATGAATTTATAAATACATGACTGTAGACAAAGTAATATTTACCATGAACAACACTACACCCAGAAGATACAATTTAAGATTTTTTATCTTTTTCTGCCTTTCTTCCTTTCTCTCTCTCTCTCTCTCACTCTTTCTCAGGATACATCATGTTCCATGAATATACTCTGGCGCCAGTAGTGCCCTCTTTCCATTACTGTAGCTCTATAGTTCTTTTTACATCTTGGTGGAGTACTTTTCTTTTATTACTTTTAAGGATTTTCTTTCCACTCTAGTGTGATGGCATTTTCTCCTCTCTTAGCTGTAAACCATGATTCTGTCCAGCAGGGATGTGCTGGGACTCCATGTCACTGAGCTTGCTTCCTGCATAGTGGCCTGGAATGTTCTCTTGCAGAGCTACTGCTGCAACACCTCATGTCTCTGCACGTGTGGTCCCCAAGGCAGAAGGACGAGCAGCCCGAGTCCCCTCCCTTCCTCCTTTTCCAGCTGTCTGTTAGGATGGCAGAAACGAACCACCTGAGAGAGAGGCCAGAACAAGGATGGAGAGGGCATTTTTCTACATTCTACTATGAATACTGTAAACATGTGTCCAAACGCATTTATAAAAGTGAGGGTGAAAATCTCTGCATGCATGAACTCAGTTCTCCCATGAATTCACCATTCTTGTTTGACCAACTATCTACCCATCTGTGAATGCAAGTAAATCACAGATCTGGGTACACTTCCTGAGGGGAGGGCTGCCTAATAATAAAGAGGATGCCCAAGGAAACCTAAATTATAGATAAAGAACTCAAAATTTTTTAGTTTAAGTGTGTCCCGAATATTGCCTAGCACCCAGCACTGTTTTCCCCACTTAAATCTGGCAACCCTATGTGAGGCGGCCTTGTTACCTGAGAATGAACAGAAATCATCTAATAAATTGAATGCCCCCCCCACCATGAACACACACACACACAGACACTCATTTGACTTTGAGGAGAGTCTAATGTAGACCAACATAACTGATCCTATTTCTTTTACTAAAGCGGGTTCAGTGCTTAGCAGCTTTGCCGTCGGTACCTCAAAGTTTACTGACTGATGTGAAAGGAACCTGGTTCAGGGTGAGAATACAGAAGCTACACCACAGGACAAGCCAATGGCAGCAGTGTGAACACTGAACCCTGAGTTGCAGGGAAGTTCCCGGACTCAGGACCGCTCCCTGCACCAGGGAACATGGAGCTGCATCCATGGCTCTCCTGTCCCCTCCATGGGCTCAGACTGTCCCTCCCTCTGTTCTGGGCTCTCAGGGCTCCTGGCTCCTCCTCTTCTGCAGATGGCCTGCTCTCAGCCTGCCCCAGGAGGCTCTCAGGAAATGGGCTAAGCAGAGAGGCAGGCTCCTCCCCAGGCCTCCCCCAGCCCCACCCCCTCTGGGTCATCAGCTGGGTGGTCTTCTAGGAGAGCCCCTCAGTCACTGTCTGCCTGTGACAGCTGTGCAGAGCCTGGCTCTGACTCCCTCCTTGTGTCCTGGACTCCCTGTCTTTTGAGCAGGTCTGGAGTGTAGAGGGTGTCTGCCCCTCTTGTCATCCATCCCTTCCTTCTAAGGCCGGAGGAGGAAGGCATGCTGCGGGCTCTCGCTCTCCTTCTAGCTTTCCTGGCTCCTGGTAAGTGTGTTGCCTACATGCTCCTGGGATTTTTCTTTATTTTTGGGAAGGGAGGCCATACTGAGGGATTCCTATTAGCTCTTCCTCATTACTTTTTGTTGTTCCCATTGCAGCCACTCAGGTATCTTCCAACTTGGAAGGGACACAGATGTTGGTCACCAAGCAAGCTGGATCATCTGTTGTAATCACTTGTGATATTACACAAAGCAGCGACTATGTCCACTGGTACCGATACCAGGAGGGGATGGCCCCACGACGACTTCTCTACTACGAGTTCTCCAGCTCAAAGGTTGTGGTGGACCCAGGGATCAGTTCACAGAAGTACAATGCTTATCAAGGCACAGGGAGGACCTGTAAACTTTATATCAAATTTCTGGAAGAAAGCGATTCTGGTGTGTATTACTGTGCTGTCTGGGAGAGGCACAGTGATTCAGACTTCCCCTATCCTGCACTGAAAATTTTGCTTGTGGTTGCCAAGAGCAGCCTTGACACACAGGGTAGACCAGCCCCTGCCGCCCTTCCTGCCCTGACTTCACTGTGCTCTGAACATGAGAGATCCTGAGCTCTGCTCCCAGTCTTCACCATTATATTCCACTGGCCTCCCTGCTCCCCCATTGAACCATAGCACTTTTCTAAAGATGGATCTCCCATCTCCAGGCCTTAGACAAGCAGTCTGGCAGAAAGCATCTTCTTTCAGCTCTCCTAGGAGCTGGTAGCGTCCATTCAATTGGCTTCCTGGGACAGACAACGTCACCTAGATTTGATATGTTTGGGGAGACATTTAGGAGAGCAATATGGGGAGTCTGGTGGTACCTAATCATTTATCCAATCATTTCCCAGAGAAAATGGCTGGGAAAGGAGCTCCTGCCTTACTCAGGAGAATGAGAAATGATGGAATGAAGTCTTTGAGCTTCATCAAGACCTCGAGCTGGTATCTGATTTATCTTTTGGACAAATTGATATTTCCCTCACCATTATCAACCATGGCACTGCTGATACAGTGAAAGTGTAGAAATAAAGTGATTGCTGTAGAGATGCTGATATTGTATTCTACTCACAGCTTCTTTTGAAGTTCAGCCTCAGCCAGAACTGCTCTGTCTTAAACAAATAAAGCCAAAGCTCCTTTCACCCCTCCCCCAACCTTGACACAGGCAGGTCCTAAACTTGAATGAGTCGATCAGATTGTCTTTTCTCAATAATAAAATCAAAGGACACTTTGGGTGAACAATCAGGCAATGAATAGTATATATTTGAATTGAAACATCATAAACAAAAGTGTTGTGGCTGCCATATTGGTCCAGGTTTAAGGATATAAAATTAATACCGAAGTACAGAAATGCTGGATTCGCATGTGTGTGGTCCCTTATGTATTGGATTCTACAATGTTCTGCCAGATCTCTTAACCTTGACTCTAGCTTAGAGGTGAAGTTCCTAGAACAGTGTTTCTCAAACTATGGTCCATGGCCCACCTAACTCAGGACCACCTGGGATGTTTGAATAAGAGTACAGGTTCTGGCTATCACCCTATAAAATAAGTCAGAATTTTAGGGTGAAAGCAGAAATGTGTATTTTTTAATTCCCTCTGCACTGATTCTTATTCAGATTGATTTGTAAGAACTGCCATACCAGCGGGAAGAGATAGGGTGACCGGTCTCCCTCTCAAATGGGCCGGTTCCCAGCCTGACATAAGAATGCATTCTAGAAAGGTGTCCCTGGGCTTCCTCCCAACACACAAAGCCCTCCTCTCTTATCACACCCTGGTTGCTGTTGCTCTAACAGGTCATCACATTTCTCCATAATTCCATCAGAGCCACAAGTGGAAACTCCAGTTCCTTCTCACTGCTGCGACCCTAGGCAAGAAGAATTGTCCACTGCATGAACCAGCTTTAACTTGCTCTACTGTATGACGAGCCATGCACTTCTACTATTTTGCAGATCTATGAAAGTTTATTCCTTACCTTGCAATATTCAGAAAGCTTGGTCCTTCCTTCAAGCATAAACATATTCTCATTTATATGTTTCTAACACTGTTAAGGTTTTGTTCTGCACATTTATTTCTTTGATCTGCTTTGAATTGAATTTTTGTGTATGAGAGTAAGGTAGGAATCTGAGTGTGGAGATCCAATTTCTCCTGCAAATTATTGATGAATCCGTTATTTCTCCCCCTGTTCTTCATTGCCACCCCTGTGATAACTAAGTTTGCAGAGGCTCACACGACCCTTCCTGCTCTCTCTCTTCCTTTCACTGCATGTGTCCACTTATAAGTGACAGTGTCTGTAAGGAAACAGCTGGAGGTGGAGTCACTGTGTATGCACAACTTTACACATTGGACCAAGTCCCTATTTTGTCTATTCCTGTGCCAGGAACACAAGATTCTAATTAGCATAGCTTTATAATAATTCCTGCATTTCATTAAGAAAGTTTTCTTGCTTTTGTGTCCCAAAATTTTGTTGGCTTTATTTTATGCATGAATAAACCCTCAATCTTGTACATTTATTTCTTTATAAAGTAATGTCACAAGAACTGTGGTAAAAATACATCATGTATATTACAAACATACACACACAAAAAAATTTAAATATATGTGATAAAAACAAATACAAATAGTGGTTCTAACTCTCTCCTTCCACACACAATGTATTGTCTTATGCCCCCCACTTTAGAAACCACAGCACCACCAACACTAATGCCAATAACACCTTTCATTCTAAATTCTTCCTATTTCCTGGCTTACCATATATCCCTAAGACAAATCATACTTGATGTCTTCTTTGTTTTTCCAAACCAAATTCTCATAATCCTGTTATAGTACACCTTTGTTTCATTCTCTGGAGTCCTTCAGGGCTTATGAATGGACACTTGATGGTGTCTTTTCATGTTCTTTAAAAGGAAATACCACCAAACCTAATAATTCTTGGTCTTGCTCAGCTTTATAATTTATTTATTTTTTAAAATTTTTGTGAGGAAGATGGCCCTCACCTAACATCCATTGCCAATCTTCCTCTTTTGGCTTGAGTAAGATTGCCACTGAGCTAACACCTGAGCCACTCTTCCTCTGTTTTGTGTATGGCATGCTGCCCCAGCATGGCTTGATGAGCAGGGCTAGGTCCGCACCTGGGATGTGAACCTGTGAACCCTGGGCTGCCAAAGTGCAGAGCGTGAACTTAACCACCACGCCAGTGGGCTGGCCCCACTGTTCAGCTTTTTAAACAGACCTTTGGGAGGAATGTCCAGGGAGCCCAACCTTCGTCATCTCTGGACAGAGAGTATGAGTGTGGCCTCAAGGAGTTTCGTTATCTTCACTGGTTATAAACTGAGGTTAATGTTGTGCAAGGGCCTGGCCCCCGCCTGACATGTCCTGGGTGCTCCGGATGATGTTGTCGAATTTGAAATGACAGGTTCACTCCATGAAAGGCGCACACGAAAGGAGGGAGCAGGTGTTCTGATCCTGCCTCAGCTGCTCATGGTCCTGTAGCATTGAAGGAGTCATCTGTGTTTGGGAGCTGGTTTCTCATCTTTAAAAATGAGAAACAAGGAGGCTTCTGGTAAGAAGTATTCCTCTTTCATTTTAAGTGTCTAATCTTTCTGTGATTCCTAGCAAACCTATGACTTGGTTTTAAAAATGGGTTACCAACTGTAATAAAAGAGAATTTATTTATTTATTTATTTATTTTTTTTTTAAAGATTTTATTTTTTTCCTTTCAACCTAGTATCTTCGTGGGCTCAGTTATGGGACGCTGCTCACGGCAGACAGTATTTTATTTTTAAAAACATTAAGTATTTACTCCACACACAGTGTTATAAAGATATAAATTGGAGATAGAAGAAAGAAAATCATATCTACCGTCCTCATCAAAATATGTCAATGGCTTTTTTCTTTTTGGTTCCCCAGGTTTGTCCATTTCACTAGTTATTTTCCCCACGTGTATATCTAATTGATTCCACATGGTCTGAGACTCTTCTCAGCAGGGGCTGCAGGCTGCCCTGGAGGAGAGTGCAGACATGCTGCCACTCTTTCAAACATTAATTCTCACAGTCCTTAGAGCTTGTAAGTTGTTTTCTTCCCAATTCCTTTGGCAGATATTGGCTAATTTTGTAATTTTTAAAAAAATATGTTTTTCTCAATACTTTCCTCATTCACTTGTTTTTCCAGTGTGTGTTTATGGTCTAGGTCATTTAGGGAAACCTCAACTTTCCAGTAATAAATGTTTGTCAAAAAGATCCCACATAGGATGTGTGGTATCTCATGTAACAATTTATACGATGTCCATATACTGGTATTAGGAAAGCCCTGGTCAAGCCCTGCTGCCCCTGCAGCACGTTTCATCTGACAACACTGTCAGGATGGAGTCAGGCATTCTGATGGGCAAATTTGAGGTAGATGAGATACCTGAACCTTCTGCGTCTACCCTCACCACTCACAGTGGAGGGAAAGAAGACTCAGCCACCTACTATTGTGCCTTCTGGAAGGTGCACAGCGGCAGACGTTAGAGCCACGTCAGTCAGTAAATGTTCAGAGGTTCTCCATTCACTGTTAGGACCTGGGAAAGCACAGTGACCACCTGTATGCGTTTTTGAAGTTTTCTAGATAAACGTTCATGTGGGTGACTTTGTATGGAGTTGCCAAATTCCTTATTTCGTCCAAAAGGAATCTTTGCATGAGTAGGTGCAAATGATCAGCCTCGTCTTTTCAGGAATCTACCTTCTTGCCAACTGGCTTTCCCACAGCACCCACGTTTATTCATCTGGGTCAACTTCCCTGACTCTATTTTGTTTTCTGCCAAGATATGTATGCCATGTAATTTCTGTGATTCCTCTTTTACTAGTCAATTTGCATTGCATTACTTTGTTCTGATCCACTTTGCTTTAAGAAAACTGGATAGTAGTGATTAAGTTCAGCATGCTCTGCTTTGGTGGCCTGGGTTCGGTTCCCAGGCACGTACCTATACTACTTGGCAGAGGCCATGCTTTGGTGGTGACCCACATACAAAACAGGGGAAGATTGGCACAGATGTCAGCTTAGGGCATATCTTCCTCAACAAAAAGAGGAAGATTGGTGACAGAAGTTAGCTCAGGGTGAATCTTCCTCAGCAAAAAAACAAATACAAAAATAAATTGGATATTAGGTTAAATACTATTCATTTTCCTGGAGGCTAAAATGTCACAACCACAGCATGATCTAACCACAAGCAGGGTTGACTGCTATGATAATATATCAGATGCATGCCCTGGAGTGGTGATATTTGATTTTGTGAAAAGTTTATAAACACTGCTACTTAATGAGTCTGAATCAAAGTCTACTTTGGGTTGGAGTTCGAGGAGTAGCTCATTTTCTGGCTTAAGGTTCCATTCATCCAACAGTAAGCATTTGACTGACTCCTCTGAGCCTGGCACTGTGCACAGCAGACATTGCAAATCTCACCTGATCTGTCAAGGCTGCAGGTTGCTTCTGCAGAGCCCCCTTCTCCTGCTGCGCTGCCATTATCTGGCTACACATATGGTAAAGCAAAGTGGTTAGGACCCAGGCCTCTGGTACAGAGAGCTCCAGGTCTGACCTGGTCT